CTTGGTCTTGTTGTCAGGGCGACTTAGTAGAACGCATCTAATCCGAAGTCGTCTGCCATAGTAGTTGTCATAATTCTCAGCATCAGACAGTGGACTTGGTACATCGTAGCCGGCATCAGTGAGTTTTGCCATTCTCCGCACCAAGCTATGAACTCGCCAAAGAGAGAAGTGAAGTCGATCCCTCGATAAATGTTCTACCTAAAACGGTTACACTATCACTCCTCTTTTTGTTCTGGTCTATCTATCTACTCTTTATCCTCTTATCCAACTCTCGCCCTATCAAAACTTCTAACTTGTTTACATTCCACTCGCCAAAATCTAGTGTAACCTAATCACACTTGCTATTCACCCCGACCCCTTCTCTTTCGATCGACCTCCAATCAGGATCACCTCATTGTCTCGTTGATCCGTTTACTAAATTTCTGGTTGACCGAGTTCATTCGATTCCAGTCCCTGTATATGGAGGCTCAAATCGGATCAACCGATCGAAAGAAAAGGGTCGGGGTGAATAGTACGTGTGAATAGGCCACACTAGATTTGCCACTAAAGAACACACATTTCGGCGAGTGGAATGTAAACAAGTGAGAAGTTGTGATAGGGCAGCAGTGGGCGAAGAGGCTAAAGAGTAGATAGATAGACCAGGACAGAAAGAGGAGTGATAGTCTAAACGTTTTCAGCAAAACATTTGTGGAAGGATTAACTTCATTTGTCTCCTTGACGAGTTCGTAACTTGTTCGGCGAAGGGCAAAATTCACTGATGATGCCGGCGAAACGTTTGAGAATGTACCAAGTCCACTGTCAGATGCTGGGAATCATGACAACTACTATTGCAGTCGACTTCGGACTAGGTGCGTTCTACTAAGTCACCCTGACAACAAGATCAAGTTGCGATGACGAGGTCAATCCACTTCTATAAATCGAAAGGAGACTGCGACCACACCAGAGGTCACAACATCTTGGTATTCATATCTTCTATGTACATCTTTGCTTTAAAATCCACGTCTGCTCTGTGATTCAGGGGGGCTCGTGCAAGTATAATGTAGTGTCAACATGCTGAAATTCTGCACTTTGTACGCCGGTTCGATTTCCGGATGAGAATATCTTCTGGTCAATTAAAACTGAGTAAAAAAAACTAGGCTAAGTCATACAAAATTGCAGGAAAGCCTGCATCACCTTATGCGGCTTAGAGTGACTGGAACTGCTATTTAAGATGACAACACACAGTGAAGGTTGAGGCGATACTAATGAGATGTATTCACCCCATTTCGTTTAATGTGATGTGTGAAAAGACCTGGCCTTCTTTGAAATTCACATCTGTCCTGTGACCCAAGGACCCTCATGGCAATTTGTTTGAGTGGGTAACGTGTCAAACTCACATGCTGCATTGTCGCGGTTTAAATCCCGCTGGGGGTGTTGATAAGACCGATGCGAGGTCGAAACTGCCGTTCACTTTAGCCCAGATGAGAACAACTTTTGGGAAAGCGAGGCTGTGTGAAATTCAATAGAATAGTCAGTTCTACTCATATCAATGTGGGAAAATTATTCTTCTACCAGTCCTTCATCACCTTAAACGAAATAGGGTGAATTCATCTCATATTACTGATTAACTGGTAGTCTCGAGACTCTACTTACATACGAATGATACATTTAGACATTTTGAGGTTGGAAATGTTTGGAAAGACATGAACTTTTCTCATCTCGTGACGGCTTTCATGCTTTTTATCTAAAAATACAAGAGAATGTCTAAGGGTGTAGAAAATTAAAATGGTTTTCACGGAAATTACGGCATTCATCAGTTATGACCACTTTATAGAGCAAGTTGACACAGTTTCCAGATCAGACGGCTAAACAATAATCCTTTTTGACCTTGTTTTCGCAACTTGGTCATAAAGGTAGGAAGACTTATAGAAGCGCACCTTGTTCTCAGTCCATTGTATGCATAATCATTTCCAAAGTGGGACAGTATACGTGGTACATTCCCAAACGTTTCGCCGGCATCGTAGTTGGCATCGTCAGTCAGTTTTGTCATTCGTAGCACCATATTGCAACTCGTCAAAGAGACAAGTTAAGCCGATCCTTTGACTACGATGT